TCTTCTTGCTCTTACCATCTTTCCAACCCCTCTTCCACCAGGATCCCAGAGCCTTGTTGCAGGAACCATGGCTGGTTTTGATTCCCTTCTTTATAACAGTGTCTGATAGAAGTGCCTTGGCCTGTGTTATTACCATGTCTGATACAAGTGCCTTGGCCTGTGTCTGCAGTGTTCTCCACTTCACGGGTCCTTCCCCAGAACTTAATGTGTATCACAGTCTAGTAAGGTACATAGCTTGACATCTCTTCCTTATCTTTTGCCATTTGTTGTCTGCGTGGATGTAAACAAGATAGCCACTATGGATGGACACAGAGCTGCCAGCTCTGATAACAGTTCGTGGGAGATCACTGCCCATTTTTGTCTTGTGTAGGCCCTACATGGTAAGGTTAGAGGCAGACGAAGTGAATGTTTTTTTTTTCTTTCTTTCTTTGAATCAGGTTTTGATCCTTATTGTAAAACCAAAAAATATGCTGTTCGTCTCATCAGCGCTGGCGTTACAGAAATCCCCTCAGGACTTTGGCAGCCAGCCTCCTGCCTCGTTGCCAACACTGCTGGCAGTCTTCATCTTTTCAAGATTCTTCATGAGGATTAGAATGGAAATGGAAGACGGGCATAGCATCCCCTATGGCGTGTCCTGCTACTAACCCAAGAGTCTTACTTTTCAGTAACCAATAGGAAGAGATTGCATTAAGAGTATGAGTTTTGATCATTTCTTTTTCTCTTGAATGGTCTACTTTAAAAAAACGTAATAAGCTCCTTAATATAAGCAAATAGCAATGCAAAAATATCCCTATCCTCTAGCAAAGAAATTCAACTTACATCCTTACCAAATTTTGTCTAAATTTTATAATTCCCATGCCTAACCTCTTTTCTCACGGTAATACTTGCATGTTACAGGGCTTTGCAAGGAGCACGGGTTTTGCATAGAGCCAATACCCGCCCATACATACACAGTGAATACAATAAGTCTTATAAGTGGTTTTCCAGTGTAATGGTTTCAAATGTGTACTTTGTGGTCAGCTCCGGTTCAAATCCCATCTCCTGTGTTTATTGTTCCTGCACTTCCTGATATATTCAGGCATTAATTTCATCATGTATTAGATGTGACACAGGCTGGAAATGAAGCTCAGTGGTACAGTGATTGTCTAGCAAGGATGAGAAGGCTCTGAGTTCAATCCCCAACTCTGCAAAAAAATGATGAGCTAAAATAATGTGCGAGCACAGTGGTACCTGTCTTGTTAGAACTTAAGTGAGACAGGGCAGAATGTGTAGGAAAACCCAGCCCAGGGCTGGGTGCAGGAGGACTCAGCATCTGGGAGCACAGCTACAAGGGAGGTGAACCTGCTCACACGTGGATGGAAGCTGCCCTGGCAGGTCTCTTCGTGTTTTTAGCAGCAACTGGCTTGGGCTTTGTTTGTTTGCTTCCTTCAAAACCTCTCCTCAAAAACTCTTGCCATTGCGGTTTCTTTTTCTAAAAATATGACCATGTCTTCTAGGATGTGTCTTTGTGACAGATGGTCAGCAGTTGGTGGTAGAAGGGGAGCCATGCCATCACATCTCATTTGTCTGTGGGAAGGGCACAAGGACACCCTTGTGTGTGTGTGTGTGTGTGTGCGCGCGTGCGTGCGTGCGTGTGTATGTGTATTCACATGTATATGTGAAGGCCAGAAGAGGGCATTGGACACCCTGGAGCTAGAGTTACATGTGGTTAAGAGCTACCTAAATGTGGGTGCTAGAAACCAAATTTGTGTCCTCTGCAAGAGTAACAAGCACTATTAATTACTGAGCAATCTCCCTCCATGGCAATTTTAAATTTTAAATTGTGTGTCAGTGCTAATTGCTATTATTCAATCCAGCCTTGCCAAAGCAATCAAAAGCACAAACTAATCCTAGTTTGGTGGTTAATGGCATGGATGGAGCATGTCCCCTGTACGGTTGAGAGACTGTCCTCTGTCTTAAGTGGTTAGAGTGAGCAAAGTGATTCTGTCCTTTTCCTTTACATAGTTCTTTGCTTACTTACTTTTTCTACTTACTGCTGTGACCATTCTTACAGGCCCAGCAGGGGGTGATTACAGTTCTGTGTCTGTATTTTATTACAGCTCTGCTGTAATAGAAGCAACCATTGCTTTGGTTTACCTAAGACTAGATATATGATTATGGAAAAAAAAATTTCCACAAACATCAGCAGTCATGATTGAGATATGGAATTTCCCAGATGGGATTCATTGCCCGTTGAAGACAGTGTTACTTAAGCAACTAAACTTTCAGTACCTGTTCAAACGCCTCCAAATAAGGAAAATTCATAGGTAGCCGATCACATCTCATCTTTTTAAATACATAGCTCATAACGAGTGGGATGTGTTAACACTAGAGTTTTCCTCTAAAATGATAGAGGGCATTACGTGTCTTAGAAATTAAAGCTACAGCTGTCTGACTGTAGTTTATAAAGGGAATACAGATGTTGTGGCCCAGTTTATATTGTACTATATCTGCTTCTTCCTCACTGTGAATAGTAATAATTTGTAACCAACCCCCCTAAATGATGGCAAACATCTATAACCCATTGAATGACCAAAAGCCACCCACCCCACTCTTTGGGAATGCGGGCATTATAATCTCTAGACTGCTTCCTGTTGTCTGGGGGTGATTGCATCTTTGGGAAACCCTGAGAAAACTGAGATTATGGTCAAGTCCTAGAAAAACTAGCCATAACAGTTCTTGTCCAGTCTCTGTGCAATGGGAAAGCACAAGACTTATCTGTAGCTGGCTGGAATAGTCTGTGAGGCTGAACCATCTCAGCCGGCAATCTTGAAGCTGTTCTGGATGCAAAGCTCTGAAGAAAATGCAACAGAGGCATTCTGAGAGACTGGATCATCTGGGCCACCAGTTTTCTTGCTATCTGGTCCCCTTGCTCTGAAAACAATCAAACTTTCAAATCTAACAGACATATTTGCATTAACACAAGTATCAACTGTGTATTGTAAACAGGCCAGCCAAAGATGATTTTATTTATTGTTTTATGTTTGAGCAGGTAAAATATATGTCACCAATCTTATAGTTTTGTAGATTTATTTCTTTATTTCTATAGCCAGGATTTTCAGGGAGTCTCTCCCAATCAAACCTTATCCTCTTTAGCCTTGAACGAATCCACCGTCTTTTGTTTTCTGTGGAAACAAAAGAATAGTTTCTTCCCCAAAGCAATACATTTTCTGAGTTCCATTTTAAAGTTAAGGCATTCCTAAAGTATCTTGGCTGGTTTAATCCAGCTGGTTTAATCCAGTGTCTTTCAGCAGCTGTCATTCTCTGTTATCATTCAAAAAAATTCAAAATTAACAAAGCACAATATAAGGTCCAAACTCCCTGTGTTATAGTACTTTCCATTCTTGTGTAGCTTATTTTTCTATATTAATTTATTCTCTTTTAAAGACTTTATTATTTTTAAGCTATTTATTTTTTCTATGAATGTCTATACACATTTTCTTTTTTTTCTATATCTAAGAACATTTTTAAACAAATTGTACCTTCTTAGAGGTTTCTGTGTCTGAACCTAGATTTACTAAACATCTGCAACATTCTCTGACCATGTGAGACAAACCCTAACCTGCCATGTCAGCTGCCACATGCCTCAGCTTAGCGCATGGTGCAGGCACATGATGCCAGCAGCTGGCTCCAGCCCACAGGCAGCGGCCGGGAGCTGTGTCTCTATGTAGAACCGTGTTTGACTTTGTGTTCTGAACTTTTTTTAAAGCCTTTCTCAGGACTTATGTTGATATTCATGGCTGGATGTTGGGCACCTTATGTAGTAGGCTTTCTTGGACCATCAGCCCCCAAATCATTATATAAAGACTTATTAATTATGAAAGCTCAGCATATACTTTAGGCTTGTTTCTAACTAGCTTTTATAGCTTAAATTTACCACGGGTGCTATTCTATGTTCTTTTACGAGGCTTGGTTGTATTCACTCTGCACCACCCACCCTGCTTCTTCCGTGTCTGGCTGGCAACTCCACCTTTCTTCCCTGAGACCTCTCTGCCCCCTGAAGTTCCACCTAGCCTCTTTCTGCCTAGGTATGGGCCATGCAGTTCTTTATTAAACCAATCACAGTGGTGCATTCTCACAGTGTAAAGGAATATTTCTCAACAGAGAATTATTTTAATGTATCTGTGTTGGCAACTTTGTAACTGTGAATGGAAACTACACAACCCCCAACCACATTTCCCCTCCCCCATGTTTTATTTCCTCCTTCCTTCGAATTTCCTTCTTCCTTTCTTGCTCCTCTTAACTCCCATCCCCCATTCTAAACGTTGAGACCTCCAAGCCCTTTACTGAAGGCAGAAGAAATGACTTCAGCCATGGAACTTGAGACATTGCCATTTCCAACTATAGATAAAGACAGTTTTGTTCGAAGACCTGCAAGGAGATGTCAAGACTCATGATTAGTTACTGTGATAGATTATAAATAGGTAGAATAAATCCCAAATATTTTCTAATACCTTCTATACTACTCATTCATTTTGTATTTGTTGAGATGGATAGTTGTCTCATCTTTGGACTATGTCCACTCTTAGACTATGTGAGCATCTGAGCTTTAACCTTGTTATTGTTTTAAGTGTTCTGTTTGTACCACCATGGATGTTTCCACAGACAATACATTTGTTGCTGCTGTTTTTGTTTGCTTTATAGCCCAGGCTGACCTCAGACTCACAGTTCTCTTCCCCAAGTGCTCAGTACCTACCTCGTTCTTGATTATGTTTCTATTTCCTAACAGTTTAAAAGCATGTTAGAAAGTCAAAGTCCTATACAGTTTCATTGTACTGATTCCTCATCCCAGTATACAGTCTGGTGTATATTTTTCCATAGTCCCATAATTACCATCTTCCCTTCTTGTACACAGCAACATTGCTTTTATGTGATGCTAGGGACAGAACAAGGTCTAATACATCCTGTACAACTGCTCTTTCACCAAGCTGCATCCCCAGCCCCGTGTGCATCGTTTCAAGTTTCATCTCTTTATGTCCTTGGGCTGCTGTGGCAGTCTCATTTCCTGGCCCTGGGAGAGCATATTCTTGTTTATTGGCAAAACTGTCACCATTTATCTGGTATCAGACCCTGACTGGCAGCATTTTTGTTAAGAAGCTAGGGTGCCGGAGTCTTGGGCATACTTTTTAGATGATTATTGAAATGTTTGTAAAAAAATTTAAGTAGTCATGTGTAGATTTTGAAAATCCATCCCCTTCCAAAGGGTTAACCCATGTGAATTATATGAGCTTGTCTTGAGATATTACATGTTTTTAAAATTAGGCAACCCAAGATTTATATTTTATTCAATTCCCCTAAATGTTGATTTGGTTTTCTTAATAATCTGGAATCTCTCAATATATTTGTTATTGTTTTAACCACTTGTCACATATTGTATTTTCTTGGCATGTCTTTTAACCACATCCTTGCTAAAATATCTTGATTAGCATATTTTAAAAGTAGAATCGTAACACACTATGACAGTTGGGGGCTTGGAGATCCTGTTGGCATCTTGAGAAGTCTGCCTGTAAAGACTTTCCCGAGGATAATCAAAAATGATTGTCAACAGACTTCAGGTTCAGAAAGTCTCATCTGGCATGATTGCTGGGAATTGAACTTGGTTCCTCTGGAAGAGCAGTGCGTGCTCTTTACTGCTGAGCCTCTCTCGTGGTCACATTTTCCAATAGTTACCATTCTCTTGGCACATCTTCCCTTCCTTGCATTCAGAGCCTCTGCACCCAAACCTAGTTTGGAACTAGCTGTCAATCTCCAGAATCCATAGGTAGGCGGGGAAGTGTTTTCAGTAGAAAATAGGAAGAGTAGAGTCCTAGGAGAGATGTCGTGCTGCCAATTCCAACCCGTCCTGCAATGCTGCCTCTCAGGACTCAGGACTGTGGAACATCCTGTGTGAGTATTGTCCCTGGAGACTAGGCCCTCTCTGAGTGTTTTGCCTTCAGGTCTCTAGTGAGAGTGTTTTATGAGAGTAAGAGCGAGAACAAACTCTCGTAAAATATTTACATTAAATATATTCAAGTTGCATCCCCCCTGTTGCATCTCTCTGTGTGTTTATATGTGTGAAATTAATCTTAGTTTAGAAGACAATAATGCTAGTTGAGGTTCTTTGATTTGGTTTTAAATTTCTTAATTATATTTTAGCATTTTCTTACTTGGAAAACACCAAGTAGCAAATTAATGGGTGGACCATTTTGAAATGTTGCTGTCTTTGAAATCTGAAATAACTATTATAGAATAAACTTTGAGTTTGGCTGTGGACCCTGGGCCTTCTGGAAATCATGTCTTTTTGGTTTTATCAGGAACTTTATGGTGTACTCATGCATGCCTGAGTCCTATGATGTTAACTGTATTTTGCCACCAGCAATGCCTAGCAGGAATACTGGATTAGCAAGTGTCTTCAGCTCTCTTCCAGTGGTTTACCCTGATTCACAGTTTCCACGAGGTCAAGATGAACTGACCAGGGTTCTTTAGGGTGTTTATACTTCCAGTTTTTAAAGAACCCTACTTTCAAAATCATACAGCCCAATATTCTTCCAGTAACTTAGGACATAATTTCTTTCCTGTAATAGGAGCAGATTGAACTAAGAGACATCAGTTTTTTCTTTGGTCAATTTAGGTTCTATTGGTAGTTACATTTTCTTTAAAAAAAAGGTTTAAAAGGCATGTATTTAACTTGCATTTCTATTAAATCTGTGATCCAGGTGTAGTAGTATAAGCATACAACCTCAGAACTTGAGCAGGAAGGTCAGGTGTTGAAGGCCAGCCTTTGCTGTATAGCAAGTTCCAAGTCAGCCTGGGCCATGGGAGACCCTGACTCAATTAATTAATTAATTAATTAAAAATAGGTCTGCGGTCCCTTTGGCTATGAGAAAGATTTGAAGACTGTGACAGATAATGAGGAGGCTGCTGCATCTGCAATTTTTGTGTCACCGATTTGAAAGATGTTCTTCGTTTCCTTCTACACAGTATGACGTCCCCACAGATGGCTTGAGTATTATGTTTCTTCCATAAAGAATGGTTACATTTAAATCTGGCCATGGTGTCATCATGTGCCTGACACTGACATTTTTATGTGGAGCTTCCAATAATCATTATGATGTAGACAGATGACCCAATGAAGATCCACCATCCACGGCTTTTAGGTACATCGGAATTGCGATAAGATTGTTTCCTGGCAGATTTGTTATTTTCTGTGGGCATCAAGAAAAGGAGTCATGAAACAGTGCATACCCGTTTGAGAGGAAGTTAATTTTTCCTAAAAATTCTTTTCCAGCGAAGGAATCCCATCCCCCAGAGTGGAGCTGCTGCATAACATTGACCGGGACTTCTTTGACAGCTCACCATGTGAGTACCCCACCTTTACTTTAAATGTTTTGCTGTGTTTTAGTAGATCCTCACACTCGAGCCTAGCGCTCTCTACCCACCAGAGTTACTGGTAGTGTCAACATTTCCTTCGGACACTTATTCTGGGAATCTCACAATGGCTTCAGTGTTCTGTGAAGTTAGTAAGTTCTGGCTCTGCCATTTGCTGGCTCTATGTAACAGGAACCCACAGGAGCCCCGAGTCCCCTTTCCACCACCAATATCATGTCATTGCCTGGGTCACCTAAGAGTTCCAGAACCTTTTTTACAGAAAATTCACCATCAAAAAAGCCACTGTCCAGCTCTGGGGTTGTATGAGCCTTCATAGCCTCTGATTGGGTTGGCCAGATGCTGTATAGAACCGGCAGAATCTCACAGGTGTGAGTTTCCTAAGTGTCCTGGGAGTCATCCAGCTTCATTGTGCCTGCTGCATGCAGAAGCCTTGTCAGTTCCTCAGGGGATGTTGTCGCATTCACTACATTCGTGTGGGGGCCATGCCACCTCCTCCCCAGACACTGGACTGCCTTGGCCAACTCTCTTTACTTCTTTGTCCTTTCCAAGTGACCACAAGAGCCCGCCCCTTACACATTCCTGCTCAGAGGGTTAACCTGGTGACGTCACTGAGCACCCAGCACCCTCTCACCTGGCCTTGTCATGCTGTTGCCCAGCATTACCTGTCCTGCTTGCCATTTCAAAACCCATAGTGGATTATATCATCCCAAAACTCAGTACCTGTTTCCTGCCTCTTTGCAGTTTCTAGAGCATTCCAGGGGCCCCATGAAAAACAGTTGTTCCTTAGGGTTTCTTAGTGGCTCTGAGTAGCATCAGATACATAGTTTAAGTGGGCATATGGTTTTCTTTGACGTGAAGGGTCTGGATGGCAAGATCCAGGACTTGTTTGTATTTTGACCCTCACCAGTTAACACAAATGCCCAGTACCTTGATAAGCAGTCACTAATCATTACTTGATCACAGAGTGGACAACTGTGGGAGGGATTAGATGCAATTAAAAATATGAAATTTCCAGGAAAGTGGGTGAATCTGGGAATTATTAAGCAAGGTAGCCCAGAGTGATAAATATGGCATTTCTTCTTCCATGAGCAGGTCTTACCTGTTAATGTTTAGGTAGATGAATGCATGTGAGTGTAGGTATAGTCATGCAACTGGAAAGAGGACCTTGCAAGGGGAAAGAGGGGCTTTAGAAAGGGCGTCAGGTGATGGGGAAGTATGGGGTGGACAGGAAAAACAAATTGTTTGAAAATGTCATATGAAATCTAATAGTATGTTAATTTTTAAAAGCTAAACACCACCTGACCCAGGTGGATGCATTAAACCTAGAAAAGGAAAGTGTTTTAATAACAAACAAGAAATGTCTCTTCTAGAGTAAAATTACATTAATGGTAGGGACAAGACGGTGGGTTAGACCCTGAGGACTGCCCAAACAGTCTAGATTTGTGCCATCCACTCTGGTATCCACTAGCTACTTAGTAGTCCACTGAGCACTTGAAATTTAGGTAATTATGGGTTGAGAGATCAGCTCTAAATATAAAATACATATCAGACTTTGAAGGCTAGGTACACATATGGTGCATATATGTTGTGATGACAGTACTTTGAATATGTTGAGTGTACACATATGATGTATACATGTTGGAATGCTTTGAAAGGACAGTACTTTGAGTATGTTTAGTTGAATATACTATTAATACTTCCTCTGTGTCTTTTTCCTTTTTTAAAGTGTGACTGATGGAAACCTTAGAATTATATATGTGGTTTGCATTATATTTCTGTTGGTCTACAAGCGCTTTTCTAGAAGGTGCTAGAAAATAAGTTTATCTGCTGCACAGAGAATCAGAGACCTTTGATTAGCTACCTGGAGGCTATTATGGTAACTTTTCCTGTTCCTGCACACCTGAGAGACTTGGCCTATTCCAGGAATACCAGAATCTCCTGGGGTGTCTGGAGAAAAGTGTGAATGCAGGAGTAGATTTAAAAACGTCTCATAGAACCCTGGTCCAGGGCAGCTGGGATACGCTTCCCACATAATGGCTGTGGACTGTCTTCATTTGCTAAATCCTCATACCAAAATAAATAAATAAATAAATAAATAAATACCTATGCACTTACTGGACTATAGTTTAATTTGGTGTTGGCAAGTGGTCGATAGAATTAACCAGACTAGGTTTAATATAAAGTATTCAGCTTTAATAAGGGGAAGGAAAGGGGAACTTACAAAGACAGAGTTCCAGCGAAGCACAGGAAAACAAAGAGAGGAAGCAGGAAGCATACCCGCAAGATTTGTAAGTAAATCTTAGCCTAAGGGGAACACGCCCCACAAACAAGGTGATTGGCTGGGCTTCCCCTTCAGTTTGGCATTAGGAGTGACAACCTAGAGCCAGCCAATCACCTTGTGGTTGCAGCAGGATTCTTATCATAACCTGCCATCACTTTTGACTTCCCTCCCTAAAATACGCCTAGCAAAACAATAGCATGGACAAGAGGTTTCTGCACCATGCAGGTTAGTAGGGGTGTGGAAGTCGGGACAGGGGACTCCACTCCTCAACTGCTTGAATGTTTCCAATGTGTTATTTGTAGCTGTGCTAAGTTCCATAATTGCGGTCATTAATTCAGGGGCACGATTTGGCCTCTGTTGTCCCTTGTGCCTCCTATAAAGAAGCCCTTGATGTTGGCTTTCCTCGCCAATTTGGTTCACAGAAGTGAGATGTTCTTTGTTGTCTGTGTCTATAGAGAACACCATGCACACCTCCTTCTCATAAAGAATGACCCTGCAGGCCTTTTCTGCTATGTCTGAATTACTTCAGTCTGTAGTGAGGCAAAATCAGAAAGAAAAAAAAAAAAAAAAAAAAAAAAAAAAAGAAAACCTATCTTTGGGGTCTGCTGCTTTTTACTATGACGACATGAACCTGCTTTCTTTTCTATGCAGTTATTTGCAGGGAAAAATTAAATCCAGTTATAAGAAAATTTTAACTTAGACGACACCAACATCTGGAAAGCCAAATAGATATTCTAGACACTTTTGTGAAATCAGGAAGCAGCCAACTTAGTGTATCAAGTAAGGGCTGACATTAGCCCATGTGACCGCAGAGCCATGGTTGGCTGCAACTCTAGTGTCTCCCAGACTGAGTATCAGACTCAGGGGAGGATGGTTAGGGAGCATGCTGCAAGGGAGCACCTATTCATAAACAATAATGATGCCTCAGGCACAGTCACACGTGAATGTATAGAAATGAAAACCTTGGAAGCGTTATAAACAATAGACTAATTTGGGTTGATACATGGTTTTGTTATTGTTACATCCCCTTCACCTCTCTGAGCCCTGTCCTCTTTCCTGTACCAATATCTCCTCACCTCATACGCTGTGTGAACTGGCTGTTTCCCAGGGGAGCCCTGCCTTATATGTCCCCCCAGGTTCCCACAGAAGCTAATTCTTCCTAAGCCTTCCTTAGAGTAGCAGGGATATCCAGGGAAACTGGGCTCCCTCCTTAGGCTAGCTGTCCCATTAATAAAAGAATTTAAAAACAGAGTCAGAGGGAAGCTCAGGGACCATTTTATTAGTGTTTGAAAGAAAAACAGTGCATTCCAGCCGTAAATTTTGGCAGCTGCTGAATGGGCGTAGGTGGAGAAGAATGAAGAGGGAAGGAAGGTCATGCCCTCAGAGTTGGGGTCCATTTGAGCTGGCATGGTCACAAGTGGAGGGAGGTTGGCAAGCAAAGTGTGGGGCTTCAGAGGATGAGCGAGAAGCAGGATGCTAGGGAGCACACACTTAGATGGGGAAAGCATGCCTGAACTTTTGGAATAAGGCACAGAAAAAGAAGGAAAAATTATACTTTTGAAGTTTAGAACTCAAAAAGCAGGCAGCTTAGCAGTGAAGATGTGCAAGCAACTGCATCAGGGGAGAGACTTTATGGAAGTATAAGTGAGCACATTATCTCATTAAGGGATAATTATTCCTCCCATCTCCTTAGAATGTTATTAGGTGAGTGAGCTTTCCTGGAGAGTAGACTCTGGCCGTGTGATTGAGAGGCCAAGCTCAAGGGAAGAGACAGCATAGTATATAATGTTGTAGTCTTTGGAGGAGATCAGAGTGTTATATCTCCTCTCAGGGCCAGAGGTATTCCGTTTATTTGACTAGAAAGCCTAAGGAGAGGCCGTTGTAATGTTTTCCTTTCTAGTGTTCGCAGGGAAAAATGGGGTCCAAAGCCAACCACGAGGAAGGGGTCTATCTTCAGTGCCCTCCAAGATGACTAATCTCTGCCTGCTTAACGTTTGTGCTCCTTCGTTGCTTTGGAAGTGAGCTGAAATTGGGAAATAGATATAACCATATTTCCACCATGGACTCCCAGAGATCCGATTCCAAAGCTGTCCATTAGAAGGGATTAGTGTCTAGCTGGAACTTCAGCTGCTCTCACATGAGGCCTTCAGGCAGGCGAGGTGCTCACTGAGCAGGAGAGAGAGATAGCAATTGCCCTCCTTCCATTCTCTGTGCCTCGGCTCTTCTGGCCTCTTCTCTCTGGGCCTCTGCTCAGGGCAGGACCAAGGACACTGCCTGTGGAGGGCAGACTACACACAAAACCTAGCACCCCGTACCTCTATGCCTTTCTTTTTGTGGTGTGACCTAGACCCAGAGTCTTTCCCTAGATGTAGGCAGCAGAAGTAGCCAGTGAGGACTTGAAGAAATGGATGGCACTGTTCACAGTGAGTTATGGGAAAGCCTGGAGGGGACTGGGGAAGCAGCTGTGATGCTGGGTCTGAATTTAGCTTGCATAGACGGAGGGCTCTCCTATGCTAGATTCCATGTTTCCCAGAACCATCTAAATCATGGGCAGAACCACTATAGTGACCTCAGCTTGCAGCTGTCAGGTTGGTACTGGTCCTCTCAATCTGGGACCACAGCTCACCTTGGATATTGGATGTCATCATGAGAAGTCCAGAATACTCCAGTTGTATGACATATGCATAAG